GTACCATAAAGTGCAAACTGTTTTCAATCCTACTGTCCAACAGACACCATGATAACTAAACTTAGCGCCACATTTTTTCGTAAATTGGATGTTGATGTTTTAAAAGTCGAAAGCTCCGTTTTGCTGGGCAGCCACATGTTGCACTGCATTATCACATCGTTCCCTTTTGTGCATTTGAAAACAAATAATCCTTCCAAATATGGCCGAGGGTTTTTCTGGCTTTCGTCTCCAGAATATGTTTCGTCTTCAGGCCTTTCCTCATCCATACACTCTACGTCGTGATTAGCAACTGCCATCTTTCGAAGCGCAGCACTGGATTATGAGACAATACAAAGAGTAATTTCAAGGCAGGGCCACATTTAACTTTTTCACCATCAGTATTTATTCTCTTTTTTTTTTTTTACTCAGTAACATGAGGGGCTTTTAAATGTAGCAAAGTAAAACTACTTAGGTTAAAATTTACTCGAGTAAAAGTAAAAATAACATATTTCAAAAAGTACTCAGAAAATTACAAATTACTCATAAAAAGTACTCAATTACAGTAACTTAGGTAAATGTAATTCATTACTTTCTACCCCTGGGAGCCAGTGAACTTCAAATCTTTTGGGTTTACTGTATTTCTTTATTTGCCAGCTTTCATCCGAGTCATATTCATGCTCTATTAGTTGAGGAGGGTTCCCACAAATTTTATTTAGATAAGGGTTCCACTAATTTCATATTTTTTAGTCAGAAAAAAAAAACTAATTCGATAATTTAATCAATTATTGGGTCTTTCTGTGAGGCACCACAGAATCCCCCCCAAACCCCTGAAAAAAACACTGGACATGCTCAGACATATGGGAGGAAAACACAGCAAGATGTTGCTGAATATATGCATGAGATTGAAAAGGTAGGTCGAGTTACCAAGAAACAGGTGTAGGTACCAGATCTGCTCAGGTTGTCAGATCTCCTTGGGGACCCGCCCTTTCCTATGACATCCATATATGGCAACACCACTTGGACAAACTGTAATGCCCCCGTTTCTTAAGGATAAAATCTTTTGTGGAGCCCTCAATATATTGTTACCTATATTTGCTACTTTTATATTTTTCATTCGTGATCTAAAGTAGCCGAAAGTATAAAACAGACACTCTTAGTTTTGAAGGAAAGCACTGCGAGATCTGCCATTTAACAAGGACACACAAAAAATCTCAGCTTATTTTTGTTCTTTTTATTAAGATCTGAGGGCAAAGGATGACAAATGGAACATCTTACAAAAAAGACTTTCATACAGATTTTAGTCAAAGAAAACAACAGTTATTCTACTTGTAGAAAACGAACGGTGGTTATTGACACAAATTTAAAAGTTTGTAGCCTAATATGGCTAACTGACCGAGCTAAAAGAGGCTAACCTGTTAGCTACTGAGCAAAGCTAGCTACCCAGCTCTCCCCCTCTATATCAGGGTCTAACCATTAATTTGTTCACCATAAACAGTTTTTTTCCCAGTTTTGTTATCGATCAGGTAAAACTTAATCAATCATTAGACACGCTAACACTACAAATGCCCCGAAGTCACGTCATGGTCAAGTCACGTATTCATTTTGATATCCAGCTTGGACGGCTAAAGGACTTTGCATTTACTCTTAATGTCATAGGGCCTAAAAGCATCAGAAAGACAGAGCCAGCTTCTAATGTTTGAGCTTTAGATACTATTTAAAGAGCATTAATGGTCGTATGTCTTCTGTTTCTTTGTCCTGTCCAGAGTCTAGATGTTTCTCACCCAATTTCTGATATAGGCACTGGATAGGTTAATTTTAGATGGAGCATATTTGTGTATACCTCCATTTTATTAAAATATCTAGAGAGTATAGTCATGCTAGTTCTGAAGAGCAGTTCTGCAGTCCTAAACAAATAAAATCTCTAAAAATGATTTGGCAGAAAGAGCTAATCCATACTATGACCAACAACTAAACTATAATACAGGGTACAACATGCTGGGGAAGATTCTCAGTCATCCAGGTCATAGTCATTCCAAAAAAGTTAAAACAATCCACTAGACTTTGTTTCCAAGTTTAAAGACGTTTCGCTTCCCATCCAGGAAGCTTTTTCAATCCAAAACCCAGAAATAGCGTTGAGTTCGAGGCTTTATAGAGTGGACCAAAAACAAAGCCTTGTTTTGGCTTAGAAAACATGCTAATTTATATTTGTTAATCTATAAAGCCTTGAACTCAATGCTATTTCTGACATTTTGAATTGAAAAGGCTTCCTGGATGGGAAGTAGCCTGGGTGCCAGTCCGAACTTAGTCCCGCCAAAAAAATTTGAGTTCGGGGAAGTTCGGTCTGGCTCTGCTCCATAGTAGCGCGAGTATTAAAGCCCACTGTCAGGCGATCCAATCAAATTGTCAGGGCGGGCTTTATAC